AGCTGCAAACGAACTGAACTGTTTATGAACAAACTCGAGTTCGACTCATTAAGGCTCGTTTGAACTCGGCTCACTAACTAAATAAATGAGTTTGAGCTTAAATTTCAAGCTCGATTAATAAACGAGCCGGGCTTAAGCTTAATATTGCTCAGCTCGAATAAGCTCGCGAGCTAAAAAATATACATATTAATTTTTAAATATGTATATTTTATTATATTTGTATTTGTTAAAATATTTTAACTTGACCATTAATAATGATCAGGTTTATTTTTATAGCGATCCCGGGTTTACCCTTGTTGAACAGTGATCCGGACGTGTGTCCGTGGATGTTGGTAATTATTTATTATCTTGTTTACATCCTTTTTACTTTGTATATTGAGTTATAGGATGTGTTGGTTGAGTTTGGGAGCCTAGTGCTGCTGCCCAGATTTTTGGACCTTCGCTCAAGCGAGGAGTTGGTCGCTCGAGCGAGAGTTGAGTTCGTGTCTGGTGGGTCGAGCCAGAGTGGCTTCGCTCGAGCGAGCGCTTGCACCTGGTTCTGGACCTGAGAGTTGCGTTTCTTGGCTCGAGCGAGCTTTCTTCGCTCGAGCGGTCTGGTTGTTCTTCGCTCGAGCGAGAAGTCTGTCGCTCGAGCGTGCTTCTGGTTGCAGACCTGAGGGTTTGAGTTGTTGGCTCGAGCGAGCATTCTTTCGCTCTAGCGCACTTCTGAGTTTTTGGCTCGAGCGAGAGTTTTCTGTGTCTGGTCGCTCAAGCGACAAGGGCTTCGCTCGAGCGAGCGTGTTTTATATTAGCGGACAGTAGTGTTTTTGAACATCACTTTTTCATTTCTTTTTCTTTCAAACCCTAAGTCCGAGACCCTCTCTCTCTAAACTTACATTCTCTCTAAGAATTGATCTCCCTAGAGTGTGAATCTAGCCTAGGGCCTTGTTAAAAAGATAGAGGGCGTTGAGGGCTTCGACGTAATCTGAAAAAGTTTAGATTTGGAACACGTTGATCTTCGAGTCTTCATCTCCTTTTTGGCTCAAACTTCGAGGTAGGGATATCCTACTCCTCTCTATGGATTTTGTCTTTAAATTTTAGTATTTTGAGATGTTGGGGTTGGTTTGGTAATTTTGTGAAAGTTTGGGGCTTTTGTGCTATTTTACAAAAGTTGGGGTTTTATTCATAATAAACCTAAATGCATGTTTGGTATAAAGAAATGGAATAAATGTTGAATCATTGATAAAATTGGGACCTAAGGGTTGAAATGTTAATTATGGAAAATGACCTAATTACATTGATTGATTAATTGGGATAATTAATTGTGAGGAATGAGGAAATGAAATGGGATTGTTGAGACTGGAAGGGTATGGGGGTTAAAGGGTGTAGTTGAACTGTTTATCACACACCGAATTGAAATGTCGATTGAATATCCATTTGTGCATTTATTTTCTGTTTAGAAATAACTGCTTTGGACTATCGGTAGAGGATAGTCGTGATTGTTGTAGACAATGCATGATGATTAGGCAAACGGAAACTAATCAATGGAATGTGTCATGGAATTTGACGGTTGATAGAATACATTAACTATATGTATTGTGTGATTGTATATAGAACCAATGTGTTTGTATACGTTATGTGTAGAGGAGGAGATGGGGGATGTACTCCGCGGTTTAGGGGAAGATATGGGATGTACCTCTAAACCGGATAGTGTTGGGAGAAGAAAGGGGATGAACTCCGTAGATACAACTCATATGCTTGTCTAAGAGAAGTGAAGATAGGGCTTATATGCTTATCTTTGTGAAGTGCGGATACAGCTTATATGCTTATCTGTGAATTTGGAATATTGTTGTTATACATATCTGTTGAGAATGTGGATATAGCTTATATGCTTATCTGTTGGAATAATGATAGAGCTAACATGCTTATCTGTTGAAAAAGGAAAATGAAAAGTAACTTGGACTCATAAGTCGTATGACATAAATATGTGATTTATGTGAATGTATCAGTGTTGGCCATCTATCAATTGCTAATCTTTTAGTCATTGTTCATGGTTGGTTTAGTGTATTTCTACAGGGCTGTGGCTCACCCTATATGGGAATATCATTTTCAGGTACAGGTAGCATGCCACCTCCAAGGACATAGCTTGGGAGGCTAGTGGCGGACATACTTTTGTCGTTTTATTTTTGATGTATTACACGTAAATTCAAGCCAAGGGCTTAATGTGTATGAGTTAGTACTCTTTTCATTGTCAATCTAAAAATGATGATCTGTGCATTCATACACTTGACATTGGTTAGGAGCTGTAATAGAATTTTTATCAAAATGTATTTCAAATCATGTTGTAACCAAGTGTTAACTTGGAAAGCTGTAAGCCCATAGGGCATTTGCTTTTGTTGTTAACATGTAATACTTTTTGTAATGAAACTTAGATAAATGGAAGAATGTGGAACTGTTAAATATCAATGCATGTCTTATTTGATGGGTTTAATGTTATTATTTTGAGGGCGTTACAATTTTAATAAAAAATAATCATTCTATGTACAAAAGCTTTGCCTTTGCTTTCCTTTCTTTGACTAGTGTTATAGTTGTCAACAACTCACTATTTTATAAGCATTAGGACTTTGTGCGTTTTCTCTGTTCAATGATGTGGGATTGAAAGACTACAATAACATGTTATGCCAAACGACGTCGTTTGGTGCATTTGTTGGAAGTCCCACATCGATTGCAAAATACATTTTAAGGTGGACAAATTTCTATACAAGTGTAGAGGGTTATTGTTTTCCATGGTTCTCTCTTGGCTTAACGAGCCATCATGAGCCGAGCTCGAGTTACATAAATTTTGGACGAGCCAAGCTCGAGCTTAGATATTATAGCTTGTTTCGAGCTTGAACAGCTTGAACATTTTGCAAATAAGTCAAGTCAAGCTCGAACATAGTAAAACTCGGCTCGGCTTGGCTTGTTTGTAACCCTAATGGTGGCATGATCAGAGGAGGACGACGATTTTGGATTTGATGGTACGATAGAATACGCGCGACGGAATACGCAATCAGAGCTCTGCTGGCGCTGTTCTTAGCGGCAGAGCAGTGCCAGAGAGAGGTTGCAGTGGGCGGAGATGGCGATGGAGAAGGTTGAGACGATAGGTGGTTGTGTCAGTGATGAAGAGAGAGAGAGAGAGAGAGAGAGCAAATGGTTTGGTTTGAGAGTGTTCTACCGTATAGCATATATATATGTGTGGGTAATGTGGTCATGTTACCTAAGCTTGTCCTTATGGACATACTATTTCAATGTCTGAATCTTTGAACAAAAATATATATATATACATAATTTTGAACTTTTAATCTGAGCGCCTTGTAAAGTATTTTAGACTTGAATTACATTTATAGAGGCCTCCATAATGTCACATTTTCCCAAATAGGTAACATGTTTTGAGAGTTGACCAAATTGTTTAGTCAAAAGAATTTGTTTTTATCCCATTCATGTTTGCTTTTTGCTATTTAAAAAAAAAGTTTGGTTTCAACCATCTTTTATTATAGGATTATAGGAAAACTCTTTGGTGTGCATTGCATACCATATGCATGTAATTTTATTATGTCATTTTGTGATTTGAGTTATACGTTTTTGTGAAATGATGACTTATGTAAGTTTGTAAAAAGTTACGTAATTTTGTGAATTTTAAAACTTCTATGCATAGAATTACGGAAATTTATATTTAACTTACGTATTTTTATGAGATCATTTTTATAAATTCTTGAAAGCTTACATAATTTTGCGAATTGCGTATATCCCAAACACTTACCTAATAACAATACGTAATTACAATTGATCAAAGAAATTCACCCCCTTCTCCCTCGTCCACCCTATCCACATTCTTATAATCACATTAGATACTAGTAACCAAACACGAATTAACAAAATCCACACATAGGTTCAATTAGGGGTTGTTTGGAGATGATTTAAATAAGTGTACTTATTTAGGTCACATCACTTCTTTATTTTTCTGTATATTTTTCGTAAAAACTTATTTAGGTCACATCACTTCTTTATTTTTCTGTATATTTTTCGTAAAAAGTCAAAACTATAAGTAAACCTCAAACAACCCCTTAATTTTCATATATATAAATTACTTGCCATCTTGAACCACTTAAGCTCAATTGAGTTTGGCATATATATGCATAAGGAGCTAAGGCGACAACTCAAAGCACCAATAAATAACACCATCATTTTGACAACGCAAGTTTCACAATGAGCAAATTGTTCATTCCCTTTCCCATCTTGGCATCTCACTTTATTTGCAACACGTGCTCTATCCATGAAAAATATCGATTTAACCAATACTTAGGATATGCATAACTAGGTCGTCATTTTTAGATTGGCGAAATTGCAAATTCATTGTCAATCTAAAAATGATGATCTGTGCATTCATACACTTGACATTGGTTAGGAGCTGTAATAGAATTTTTATCAAAATGTATTTCAAATCAATCACTCTTCTTCCCCCATTTTTCTTGGGGTTCCAAGGATTAAACTAAGATGTTTTCAACTTTAGATTTCTACCTACCTGCAACACGGAGTTGTAGAAGATTATAGGTGGTGTTGGGTTGTAAGGCTTAATGATTTTAGTGTTGATAAAGTGAAGTGTACTAAAATTAATCGTTGGGTGTGACTTTTAGATTTTGTGGTCATTTGATGAACTCATCTTTCAATGTGGCATTGATAATACATCATTTTAATTTTGACATTTTGTTCTCTTTGCAATAATTATCATACCATTTTATTTGATTAGATAAAAATGGATTTAAAAGGAATGCATTCAATAACTGCCGCGTCAATTTGTTAAAACAAGTTTATAAGTTTTATTTATATGTATCACTATGCTCCTCTCAGCTAAAACTGTTCCAGGCAATATTCGATTTTGAAAGCATTTTAATCAAGCATCGTGTGCATGAATTAACATCATAACACAAATTCAAATCAAGGGAATGCTTAATTTTCTTTATTTTCAATCTTCATTCCTTTACTATAATACTATTATTAGTTTTCATATTGAATTCAGAGCATGGTATGAAATTGAAACACATATTATAGCCACTACAAATGTTTATAACATTGTAAGCAACAATCCTTAAACAAAAGCTAATGTAACGGTTGCCTTAGCCGAGTGGTATTAGGAGAGGAATCAGGGCCACAAGGATGATGTTGAAGTCGTAAAGCACGAAACAGCAATGCACCCCCAACAGCTCCAACAGTAGGGGCAATGAGGTAAATCCACACATCGCCAAATTTCCATGAAACAATTGCAGGCCCTAATGACCTTGCCGGGTTCATTGACCCTCCTGAAATAGGCCTGCAATCAAATATCAAAAGGATGGTTATGAATATAATAAGAAAAAGCAAAAAATAAAATTAAAAATTCAAGAATTAGCAGACATGGGTAGTGTTTGGACATGCCCTGAGATTAGAACTGCAAGTCCAATCGCCGTCCCAACAATGAATCCTGACAAATGGCCTACCTGCAGGAAATCAAAAAAAATTATCAAATTACGAGTTTGGATATAATTTTCTGGTATCCAAACATGAAAATAGCTTTAAAAAATTAATTTTCATTTACATTATAAGCAGTCTATTTAAGTTGCAACAAGAAGACCTTAGAAGCTATGCCAGTTGCAATTATTAGGAGGAAAGTACGAAAATTTGAACTTACATATTTAGATTGATATTCCAAAGAAGAAGCAAGGAACATGATGATGAAAGTAGCAATGAGCTCCACCCAAAAGGCAGTAGTAGATCCTTGCAATGGTCTTGTAATCATCAGTTCTGATTTTATTCCATATACTAAACTTCCCACATATGTTGCCAATGTTGACCCCATGATTTGTGCTATTATGTATAGTGGAACCTTCAAAATCAAATCACAAAAACTTTCAGTTTTCTGATTCCAAAAATATTGGAGATTTTGAAATCAAATGGATTTTAAAAAAAAAAGCAGGCACATATCCCAAGTAAGGTCTTTAGGGCCCACCGAAAGAGTATAAATTCGAGAATCAAGTGGCACTTCCTAATTGTATATGAGTCAGCAAGCTAAGGCTGATAATTTTTTTGGACACGAACTTAATTATGATATGACAAGATAACATAATAAATAAATATACCAGGTCAGTGTAAAATATGTATAACATGAAATTGATAGATACTTAGTTTTCGATTGAGAAGTATTATGACATATTTAAGTCTCTTACATAAACTTTTTCAGTTGAATAAAAAAAAAGTAAAATAAGGCTTTGGGGACAATAGTATTTCGATTTTTCTCTTGAAAGAATCTGATTTTTCATTTATTATTTTCAGTCAATCTTGACTGAAAAATAAAATATAATTAGGTTCAGTTTTTCGAAATTGGAGAATAGAATTGAGCTTAAATTTAATATTTTTATGAACAATTTCACTTAGTAAAGATTAGTTTAATGAAAAAAAAAAAAGAGTTCAAAATAAGGGTAGATTTTTTTTAAAATTTTATTTTTTAACAAGACACGAACCACTCAAAAATAACAAAAATAAATAAATAAATTGGATTAGTATTAAGAGAATTTTAACACACAACTTAAATGATACGATAGGAGATGACACAAACATGACTAAGAAGACGACATGATTCTTAGTACCTGGGACCATGGAAATTGACCTAAAGTAGCAAAGGCAAAAGTGATAGAAGGGTTGACATGAGCTCCAGAGATGGCTCCAATGGAGAAAATCACCACCACCACTGTGAGAGCTGACGTGGCTGCATATTCCAAGAGGCCAACTTGGCCACCCATAAGCTGAGTGATTGCTATGATTGCACATATACAAAACATCAGAATGAATGTCCCCATTGCCTCTGCTAAAACCTGCACATCATCAACAAAAACAACCTTGTTCACTGTTAAAAAAATAAAATAAATAAATAAATAAAATTGTACATAAATAATCCACTTTTATTGCCAATCCATGGAACATTTACTAGGCTTCATCTCTCGTTTAGTAATATAGTATATAAATTAGTACCTTTTATTTACAAAAAATTTAAATATATATTTTTTAGATGAGTTGAATGGAACAATTCAATCCTTGGGCACATTGTAAGTCTCATTTTGATGACATGAACAATTCATTTTTTCATGTCATTCAGTTTTACGTAATTTCATGTGTGCAGATCATCCACTATAAAAAAATAAAACAAAAGATCAAATTGATTCGAAAATTCTGTTAAAAAAAAATGATACGAAAATTCTAATTATATAATTTTATTATATTTGTCTTTTATTGGTCATTTTTTTAAACAGAAATTATATAAACTTATGTCGCTAAGATTAGTATTAAGAGAATTTTAGCACACAACTTAAACGATACGATAGGAGATGACACAAACATGACTAAGAAGACGACATGATTCTTAGTACCTGGTGTTAGAAATGGTTATAAAATTCTGGGTAAAATCAGAATTTTTTCCTAAGTTTGGTCTAATTTTTAGGTGGGCCCCGTGCATCGTTTTACACGGGTCAAAGTGGTAACGCGTTCTTTGCTGCGTTGTGATTCACGTGGTATATTATTTGGTTGCTCAAAACTATTATCGGGTGAATGAGAAATTGAAGCTAAAGTGAGCTCCATGGAAATGGAGTTTTTGGTGGAAATTCCTTAAAGGTTTGAATAAGGCTTGTCCCACATTGATTTGGTGGGAGGTTTTGAAAGGGTTTATAAGGCAAGGGTTTGGTACTTGGGGTGTGCCCCAAGGGGTACCCAAGTGTTTTAGAGGGAGAGGTTATGGGCAAAATAGGCTAGACCCATTGGACTCAAAAACCACCACACACGCGCGCCGCCGCCATTCGTCCGGTCGGTCAAGCGACTTGGGCTTGGGCGCGGGTGCGTGATGTGTGGTTGGGCTTGTTCGCCCCAATACTAATCTTTTTGGGCCAAAAACATTTGAATTTAATTTTATTTTATATAAAATAAAATCCAGAATTCAAATTAAACAGGAAATAAATTGGTTTGGATTTACTGTTCATCCAAACAGGGCTCTTCCCATTTTCAAACAGAATTAAACTGGCTTGGATTTACTGTACATCCAAAAAAGGCCCTTCCTGTTTTTGTTATCTGTTTAAATTGTAACCCAACAGATTCAAATCTGTTTGAATACAAAACCAACAAGTATCATTCCTGTTCAATTCAAAACCTAGAGCCACCATTCCATCTATAAATAGGACAACCCTCATTTGGATTTAGTGATCTCTAATTTTCGTCCTTCATAATTCTGAAAAACATTCTCTTCATATTGCTGCATTATTTTCTTGTCAGAGAGAGTATAAACACTTAGTGTGTTCGTTAGGCAAACAATTTGTAGTGCTACTATTGTTTGTAGTAGATCATTTTATCCTGAGAGATAGACGTCCACATTCTGAAAGCACCGTGGAGAGGATGAATCTGTCTTAAGGATACAGTGTCAAACACTGGATTTGATCAGATTATAATTCGAAGAAATTAAATCAAGTAAGTTATTTAATTAATTTTTGTGTTATTGTTATTTATTTAAATCAGATTTTAAATTTGTTTTTGTAACAAAATAAAATCTGTTTTATATTTATTTATTTATTATTACGAGTTTGATTTTTGTAATCAAACAAAGTTCTCTCATTTCTTTTATTTCTTTATATTCTGATTATTGTTTGGTACACAACATAATTTAATTTATTTAAATACAGTGAAGACTGACCAACACCTGAGACCTTGGAAATTGACCTAAAGTAGCAAAGGCAAAAGTGATAGAAGGGTTGACATGAGCTCCAGAGATGGCTCCAATGGAGAAAATCACCACCACCACTGTGAGAGCTGCCGTGGCTGCATATTCCAAGAGGCCAACTTGGCCACCCATAAGCTGAGTGATTGCTATGATTGCACATATACAAAACATCATAATGAATGTCCCCATTGCCTCTGCTAAAACCTGCACATCATCAACAAAAACAACCTTGTTCACTGTTAAAAAAATAAAATAAATAAATAAATAAAATTGTACATAAATAATCCACTTTTATTGCCAATCCATGGAACATTTACTAGGCTTCATCTCTCGTTTAGTAATATAGTATATAAATTAGTACCTTTTATTTACAAAAAATTTAAATATATATTTTTTTAGATGGGTTGAATGGAACAATTCAATCCTTGGGCATATTGTAAGTCTCATTTTGATGACATGAACAATTCATTTTTTCATGTCATTCAGTTTTACATAATTTCATGTGTGCAGATCATCCACTATAAAAAATAAAACAAAAGATCAAATTGATTCGAAAATTCTAATTATATAATTTTATTATATTTGTCTTTTATTGGTCATTTTTTTAAACATAAATTATATAAACTTATGTCGCTAAGATTATTAGTTTAATTTGATTATTAGTTTTTTTTATTTTTTTTTGAATGATCTATAGACATGAGGGTAACAAAACAAAAGGTAAAGTTCACTTTACTCGCTTGAGGTTTGAAGCTGAAGCACTTCACCCCCATATATTTCAAATATAGGCAGATCACGCTTATGGTTTTGGACTGATTTGCAACTATTTTACCCCTTGCGTGGAAAAACTTATTACTTTCTTCTTCTTCACATCTCTTTCTTCACAACAAAAACAGAGTACTACCATACACAAAGCGGAGCACCTTTCCTAAGGTAGTAAGTTCAAGCAAGCAATCAAATTGTGGAGCCATTGTAGGAATCACTTATCCTTACCGTGGGTATGCGACACCTACTCTTCTTTCCATTACTCCATCTCCTCACTTCCTTCTACTATAATTTTTTTAAGAGCTCCTCCACACACACACACACACACAAAAAAATGATAGCCTGTGCATAATAGTAAGTTCCATGCACAACACAGAGGTCCTTTTGAAGATTGAAAAGGTAGTCTTTATAAAAATGAAAATAAAAAATATAATATTTTTGTGGGAAAAAAAGGGAGTTTGTTGGCCACTTCTATTCCCGAAAATTTGAAATTCAAATGACTGAAAATGACAAGAAAGAATAAAATTTCATAACTCATTAATCAACAACCCAAACCCATTTGTACGGCACATAGCTGGTTCTTTACTTTCAGAATGAGCTGCTATGGGTAATTGCTTTGTTGGTGAACATTTGTGTGTACACATGTATCCAATAGATCTCCATATATATATATATACAGCAATACGAAGTATCATGAAAAGTCTTTCATGAAAATAGTCATGAAAGATTTGTGACCTTTGGATTACACTTACAATAAAGCACCACACACTAATCAGTAATCTAAGGGTCACAAATTTTTCATGATCCTTTTCATGACAAAATTTTCATGATCTCTAACATTTCTCATATATATATATGCAACAATGCTAGGTAGCTCAAAATGTTGTGGCTCAAATGGCTCAAATCACTTAAAACGACGTCGTTTTGACAGATTTTGAGTGTAAAACGATGTCGTTTTGACAGATTTGAGCCACAAAATTTTGAACTACCAAACATTTTCCATATATATGCACAGTCCGAAATTTGCTGACAATTTTTTGCAAGATGAAATGGATACTGGAATTAAATGATTAGAGATTTTATTGTTGCACTGTAGCAAACTCTCCAAAGATCCATATCTAGGGTTCAGGTTCTAAAGGATGGAATCAATAAATGGGTCAGATAGATTGTTTTTAGGATTTAGGGATAGAAAATGAATAATGACTAATGGGGCATTTATGTCTTTTTATCCAATCATTTATGGAGGAAAAATAATGAAATGGAGTCATAACTGTACAATCGCGTTTGTGATACACGTCTATTTGGATGAAAAATTTAACAGTTGCAAATCAATCCAAAACGACAAGGGAATACGGAATCTATTAGGGTAAAGTACTTTAACTTTAAATTACAAGGGAGTAAAATAAATTTTGTCCCAAAACAAATGATTTGGATTACCAAAACAAAACCCATGGCAGGATCCATGGGTCTAATTGTCTTGTCCAATGAGAAGTAAAATTTTTATTTTTATTTTTGGTAAAAACATGTTTAGTATACACCTATTTGAAAAATATAAGAGTAAGAAGGGATGGCAATAGGTAGTGATCAAAGTTAGTTTTTGATGGTCAAAAGTAGTACTCAGAAGTGGTTGTCAGTAGGGAGAGACGGTAGTTGGAGGTGATTTCATGCAAAAGGTGGTTAACAACAGTAATTATCAGCAATCTGAGGTAGTTTCTATCTAGAAAAGATGGTTAGAGGAAGTTGTCTATGATAGTGACTAGAGATGGGGGTGGCTAGATGTGATAGCTTATGGTAGTGATGAGAGTGTGGTGACCAGAAGGTGTTGGAGAGGGACGAAAGAATGATTCTTAATAAGTGAACCACAATTTTTTTTTTTGGTTACACGAATTTAGTAAATTTTGTAAACAGTTTACAACAATAAATTTTTAGTTACAACTTTTAAACAAAAAACTGTAAATACAAACAGGGAAAAAGTACTTTCTCTTACTTTACGCAATGAATCTATGTCCATCTGATATGGGAAAGAGCAACAAGAAGCTTTGTTGATCAAAACATCTACACTCCTTGGCGTTGCATTGGACCCCATCTCTTGATCATACTTAGATTGATCACTAGTTGATGCCTCATTAGAATTCTCAATGGTTGGTTGGTCCTCGAACAAGTGTTCCATGATCAAAACTAGACTCTCTCTTTGTTCTTGTCAAAATGATATAGCAATACTGGCTTTTAAAGACCCTTGTTGAGAACCAAATAGATGCAATGAAGATGAAAATTTAGAAAAATTGTACATTTTTTTCTTGCATCACCTAGAAAATATATACATATACTAGGGATAACCCGTGCCTGAAGGCATGATCAATAATTTTTCCGGTACCACACGTGCTACGAAATTCAATTAATAAATCAATTTAAAATGATATATCACTCTAGTTTAATACTTCACAAATAAGAAGTTGAAATTGCTTCTACACAGTAAATTGGCAAAAACATTTAGCGCAATCATCCTATCTAACTAAAAAATAATAATTAATCATCCAGCGTTTCTAATACGGATCAGCGACCTGCAACAAAAGCACTCGCTTAAATTTGCTTTAAAAACCCAATAGCTATGAGGAATCAACAAAATGAGAAATCAACAAAATGATTCTTCAAAAGCAACTCTAATTTGACAACAAAATGAACTCAAATGATTCTTCAAAATAATAAAAATGATTAAGAACAATAAAAAAATGCATGAATAGCTTAATATAATATTATTGAATCAAATGATTTCATGGTTTCAATTTGAACAATACCAAAAAAATGCAGCAAAACCATGTTTAAGAGTGATAATTGCATGTTTCACAATTTTTTGCAATGACATTGTCACATTAACAAATAATCTTCTTTCAATTTGTTTTGTAATTAATCCCTTTCTTTCAGCACAAAATTCATGTACTTCTCTAATAGCTCTGAATATACCAGTGATAAGCATAATTCTGACCCTATCATTGGCTGAAACACATATGAAGAATAGTATTGAGCAAAGATTCTAAACATGAATGTAAGAGAGAAGTTTACACAGGTTTTACATAGTGAAACCTAACAATAAAATGATAACTCTTGTATAGAAGTCTTCCTAGTTTAACCAGGGAGCAAATTTCAATAGCAGCTAAATTATGAATTAGGCAAACCTCTCCAAACACTTTGATCTACATAATGAATTACTACAGTGAAGCAAACATAGAACACGCATTGATAAACTCGCCATTTTTCCAATTATCTAAGCTCTGTAAATAGATCAAATAATAAAAAATAAATTAAAAAGCCCTAAAAAAACACAAACTATTCATTGCAAAATTCACGAAAAAATCAAAAATTTGTGTCATCACTACTACTATATAATTCCAAAACACAAAATCTTTAATCTTTGAAAGACATGATGAGGCCACAATTTTATATTCCCAACAATGCATGAAGCAACACATGACAAATAAATTGAGGAAAACAAAAAGAAAAAAAAATCAAAAACAGAGATGATATGAGACACATAGCTTGTATTGGCCATAACAAACACTAAAACTAATTTGGGAGGAAAAAATGGAGGAAAAATAATGAAATGGAGTCATAACTGTACAATCGCGTTTGTGATACACGTCTATTTGGATGAAAAATTTAACAGTTGCAAATCAATCCAAAACGACAAGGGAATACGGAATCTATTAGGGTAAAGTACTTTAACTTTAAATTACAAGGGAGTAAAATAAATTTTGTCCCAAAACAAATGATTTGGATTACCAAAACAAAACCCATGGCAGGATCCATGGGTCTAATTGTCTTGTCCAATGAGAAGTAAAATTTTTATTTTTATTTTTGGTAAAAACATGTTTAGTATACACCTATTTGAAAAATATAAGAGTAAGAAGGGATGGCAATAGGTAGTGATCAAAGTTAGTTTTTGATGGTCAAAAGTAGTACTCAAAAGTGGTTGTCAGTAGGGAGAGACGGTAGTTGGAGGTGATTTCATGCAAAAGGTGGTTAACAACAGTAATTATCAGCAATCTGAGGTAGTTTTTTACAAAAAATTTAAATATATATTTTTTTAGATGGGTTGAATGGAACAATTCAATCCTTGGGCATATTGTAAGTCTCATTTTGATGACATGAACAATTCATTTTTTCATGTCATTCAGTTTTACATAATTTCATGTGTGCAGATCATCCACTATAAAAAAATAAAACAAAAGATCAAATTGATTCGAAAATTCTGTTAAAAAAAAATGATACGAAAATTCTAATTATATAATTTTATTATATTTGTCTTTTATTGGTCATTTTTTTAAACAGAAATTATATAAACTTATGTCGCTAAGATTAGTATTAAGAGAATTTTAGCACACAACTTAAACGATACGATAGGAGATGACACAAACATGACTAAGAAGACGACATGATTCTTAGTACCTGGGACCATGGAAATTGACCTAAAGTAGCAAAGGCAAAAGTGATAGAAGGGTTGACATGAGCTCCAGAGATGGCTCCAATGGAGAAAATCACCACCACCACTGTGAGAGCTGCCGTGGCTGCATATTCCAAGAGGCCAACTTGGCCACCCATAAGCTGAGTGATTGCTATGATTGCACATATACAAAACATCATAATGAATGTCCCCATTGCCTCTGCTAAAACCTGCACATCATCAACAAAAACAACCTTGTTCACTGTTAAAAAAATAAAATAAATAAATAAATAAATTGGATTATTATTAAGAGAATTTTAACACTAAATTCTCTGTAAATTACTCAGTTAATTATCCATAAGTTCTCAAAAAATTCTGAGCCAAGTACTTAGTAAATTACTCACCAATTCTTAACTTGAGGCCCCGCCTCAACTTCCGCTCAAACTCATAGCAACGGCGTTCCTCAGACGCCACCAGTTCCGGTGCAAACCTGGACAGACTGGTAAAAGTAGCCTCAAACTCGGCCACTGACAAGCCCTGCTGATTAAGCCGGCTAAACTGATCTCTCAGCTTCTCCCTAGCTGCTGCAGACAAAAACCTCTCCTGAAAAGCATTTATAAACGCCTCCCAAGTACCCCCAACACGAGCTTTCTCGTACTTCCACCATTGACCCGCATCTCCCTTCAATTGGAAGGATGCCAAGGTCACTTTCAGTGCTCCGTCCTCGATGCCAAGCATCTCAAACGTCTTCGTTGTCTGTTCGAGCCATTCATCTGCCTTAAGCGGCTCTTTAGGATCCCCGATAAACTCGTCCGGATTACACCGAAAGAACTCCCTCTTCAAGAAGGAAGGCCCTGCCTCAACTGCCTGATTCTCAGCCCTAAGAATACCCAAAGCTCCTGCTATCTCTCTGGCCAAGGCACCCATAGCCTGCGGACCCACTGGCTCGGCCACATTGGCCTGACCAACCCCCTCCTGCACTGCCGGAATCTCACCCTGTAACGGTACCTCCTGCCTCGCAGGTCTACCACGTCTAGCACCTCTTCCTCGTCCTGACATCCTAATAAAGGCGACACAGAACGTTAGCACATTCATAAGTGTGCCGAAACTAAACACTCACGTCCTAATGCATGGACAACTGTAATTCACTCCACATAAGCACATAAACACATAAGCACTTACGAATTTCATTTCCGGATAATAATAGTCCCGAGGCGTTACTAGAGTTCCGGTTAGAAACAGCATTGATCAAGTGCATTTCCAACAAGACTCCCAGAAACTCAAGAGGATGTAAACAAGATAATAAACAACTACCAACATCCACGGACACATGTCCGGATCACGGTATAACAAGGGTAAACCCGGGATCGGTCTCTATCAAGCGAGACAAACCCATTGTGATCCTAATCACTTCCCACGTACCCAAAGTATTCGAACCCGGTACGCTCTGATACCAAGTTGTAACGCCCTCAAAATAATAACAATAAACCCATCAGATAAGACATGCATTTACATTTAAACTAACCACATTCCTTTCATTTTCCCTTTTTCAACAGATAAGCATGCTAGCTCTATCATCATTTCTACAGATATGTATAAAAACTATATCCCACATTCAGATAAGCATATAAGCTATATCCACATTCTACAACAGATATGTATAACAACAATATCCACAGATAAGCATATCCACACATCACAAAGATAAGCATATAAGCTCTATCTTCACTTCTCTAGACAAGCATATGAGCTGTATCTACGGAGTTCATCCCCTATCTTCTCCCATCACTATCCGGTTTAGAGGTACATCCCCTATCTTCCCCTAAGGCTTAATAATAAGAAGTAAACAAAATGAAGCTCTTGCTTCAATCCTCCCAAGCTACTACCTTGGCGAAGGCATCTCACCAATACCTAAAAATATTTTTCCTATATAGGGTGAGCCAAAACCCAGTAGAAATAATCCAACACAATATATTAATCTTAATAAAGATATAAGGGTAAAATGTATATGCAATGCTCATGACAAAACAATTTATATCTTTCCCAAAAGCCACATAATGCTGGGTCTATGTCATAGTTCTCCAAATCATTTCCTTTAAAATAGAAAATAGGGGGAAACTCAACTTCGTATAGCCTTTCACGGATATTTCGTCCGCGGGAAACCGTCAAACGGGACCCATGTAAACGTAGGCTATGCAAGCCCTACTATTACCATTTTACGGATATTTCGTCCGCAGAAATTGGCACCTATGTATGTGCGCGTTTTTCAGGACTTTTACCCTGGACACATAGGCCAACTTAATTTGGTGATGCACACCTCATTCCTACATTCACCCATTTTTCTCAAAATCACATACATGTATAATTTTTGCTCACCCTAGACACATAGGCCAACTTAATATTTTGCTCACTACGAAATATACACATTTTCATTCACTACAAGAATATATAATTTTTATGTATTAGTGTTGGCCATCTATCAATTGCTAATCTTTTAGTCATTGTTCATGGTTGGTTTAGTGTATTTCTACTGGGCTGTGGCTCACCCTATATGGGAATATCATTTTCAGGTACAGGTAGCATGCCACCTCCAAGGACATAGCTTGGGAGGCTAGAGGCAGACATATTTTGTTGTCGTTTTACTTTTGATGTATTACATGTAAATTCAGGCCAAGGGCTTAACGTGTATGAGTTAGTACTCTTTTGTTGTAACCAAGTGTTAACTTGGAAAGCTGTAAGCCCTTAGGGCATTTGCTTTTGTTGTTAACATGTAATACTTTTTCTAATGAAACTTAGATAAATGGAAGAATGTGGAACTTTTACATAACAATGCATATCTTTATTGGTGGGTTTAATGTTGTTTTATTTTGAGGGCGTTACAGTCAAGGTATAGTGGTTTCTTGAATGAACTTTCATGTTTAATTTTATGCAGTTTCCATTTCTATTTTTAATCAACTTCTACTTTTATTGAAGGTCCATCTCCATTCAATTGCAGTTTCCATTTCTATTTTTAATCAACTTCTACTTTTATTGAAGGTCCATCTCCATTCAATTTAATTTTTTATTTAATTTCCAAATAGCTCGTTAAGGTATAATAATTTCTTGAATGAACATCCATTTTTAATTTTATGCAACTTCCATTTGTATTTTTACTCCACTTCCATTTTTATTCAATTTCTTTTTCTATTCAATTTCCTTTTTTATTTAATTTCCACATAGATGTTTAAGGTACAGTGATTTCTCGAATGAACTTTCATTTTTAATTTTATGCAGCTTACATTTTTATTTTTATTCAACTCCCATTTTTTTTCAATTTGCTTGTCGATTGAATTTCCTTTTTTTATTTAATTTCCAAATAGATCGTTAAGGTATAGTGGTTTCTTGAATGAAATTCCATGTTTAATTTTATGCAATTTCTATTTTTATTTTTATTCAACTTCCATTTTTAATCAATTTCCTTTTCTATTCAATTTCTTTTTTTATTTAATTTCCAAACAGATCGATAAGGTGTAGTGGTTTCTTGAATGAACTTCCATTTTTTATTTTTAAGCAACTTCCATTTTTATTTGTAATCCACTGCCATTTTTTTTCAATTTCCTTTTCTATTCAATTTCCTTTTTTATTTAATTTGCAAATAGATCGTTAACGTATAATGGTTTCTTGAATTAACTTCCATATTTAATTTTGTGCAGTTTCCATTTCTATTTTTATTCAACTTCCATCTCCATTCAATTTTCTTTTTTATTTAATTTCCAAATAAATCGTTAAGGTATAGTGGTTTCTTGAATGAACTTCCTTTTTTAATTCTATGCAACTTTCATTTTTATTGTTATTCTACTTCCATTTTTAATCAATTTCCTTTTCTATTCAATTTCCTTTTTTATTTAATTTAAGATATAGTGGTTTCTGGACTGAACTTTCATTTTTAATTTCATGCAACTTTCATTTTTATTTTTGTTCAACTTCCATTTTTATTCAATTTCCTTTTCTATTTAATTTCTTTTTTTTATTTCATTTCCAAATAGAACGTTAAGGTATAAAGGTTTCTTGAATGAACTTCCAAGTTTAATTTTATGCAACTTCCATTTTTATTCAATTTCCTTTTCTATTCAATTTCCTTTTTTTTATTTAATTTCCAAATAGATCGTTAATGTATTGTGGTTTCTTGAATGAACTTCCAATTTTAATTTTATGCAACTTCAATTTTTATTCAATTTCCTTTTCTATTCAATTTCTTTTTTCTATTGAATTTCCTTTTTATTTAATTTCAAATAGATCGTTAAGGTGTAGTGGTTTCTTGAATGAACTTCCATTTTTAATTCTATGCAACTTTCATTTTTATTTTTATTCTACTTCCATTTTTATTCAATTTCCTTTTCTATTCAATTTCCTTTTTTATTTAATTTCCAAATAGATCGTTAAGGTATAGTGGCCTCTTCAATGAACTTCCATGCTTCATTTTATGCAGTTTCCATTTCTATTTTTATTCAACTTCTATTTTTATTCAATTTCCATCTCCATTCAATCTCCTTTTTTACTTAATTTCGAAATAGATCTTTAAGGTGTAGTGGTTTCTTGAATGAACTTCCATTTTTAATTTTATGGAACTTCCAATTTTATTTTCATTCCACTTTCATTTTTATTCAATTTCCTTTTTTATTTAATATCCAAGTAGATCATTAAGGTATAGTGGTTTCTTTAATGAACTTCCATGTTTATATTTATGCAGTTTCCATTTCTATTTTTATTCAACTTCTATGTTTATTCAATTTCTATCTTCAATCAATTTCCTTTTTTATTTAATTTCCAAATAGAACGTTAACGTGTAGTGGTTTCTTGGATGAACTACCGTTTTTAATTTTATGCAACTTCCATTTTTATTTTTATTCCATTTCCATTTTTATTCAATTTCTTTTTCTATTCAATTGCCTTTTTTCTTTTAATTTCCAAATAGATCGTTAATGTATTGTGGTTTCTTCAATGAACTTTCATTTTTAATTTTATGCAACTTCCATTTTTATTCAATTTCTTTTTCTATTGAATTTCCTTTTTTATTTAATTTCAAATAGATCATTAAGGCGTAGTGGTTACTTGAATGAACTTCCATTTTTAATTTATGCTACTTCCATTTTTATTTTTATTCCACTTCCATTTTTGTTGAATTTCCTTTTTTAATCAATTTCCTTTTTCGTTTAGTTTCCAAATAGATCGTTAAGGTATAGTGGTCTCTTGAATGAACTTCCATGTTTCATTTTATGCAGTTTCCATTTCTGTTTTTATTCAACTTCTATTTTTATTCAATTTCCATCCCCAATCAATTTCGTTATTTATTTAATTTCCAAATAGATCATTAACGTGCAGTGGTTTCTTGAATGAACATCCATTTTTAATTTTATGCAACTTCTATTTTTATTTTTATTCAACTTCCATTTTTATTCAATTTCCTTGTCAATTGAATTTCCTTTTTTTATTTAGTTTCCAAATACATCGTTAAGGTATAGTGGTTTCTTGAATGAACTTCCATTTTTAATTTTATGGAACTTCCAATTTTATTTTTATTCCACTTTCATTTTTATTCAATTTCCTTTTTTATTTAATATCCAAGTAGATCATTAAGGTATAGTGGTTTCTTTAATGAACTTCCATGTTTATATTTATGCAGTTTCC